GGAGGGGAGTGAAGTGTGGTATATAAGTGTTCGGCCGTTGAATTTAATACGACACTCCCTAAAGATATGTTGCAAAACAACTTTGAATTAAGTAAGGCGATGATTTAGCTGAATTTGTTGACATGTGATTTAAATTAGACGACATGTTGACTGATGTAAGGAATATGTTGGACATGATGACTGATATAAGGCAATATGTTGAACTATGGACATATATGTTGGCTGATATAAGGTAATATGTTGAACTATGGACACGTTGACTGATGTAAGGCAAGATGTTGAATTATGGACATGTTGACTGATGTAAGGCAATATGTTGAACTATGGACATGTTGACTGATGTAAGGCAATATGTTGAACTATGGACATGTTGACTGATACAGGGCGACATGGTAAGTGATGCTGGGTGACTTATTGACGTTGGACGATATGTTGGTTAATACGGAGAAACATATTGGTTGACATTGGATGGAAGGTTAGGGACTGGTCATTTTCTCCGGCTTGGGGGGGATGCCGGGGGAAAACAGGGGGACCAAGCTTTTTTGAAATTGAATGGGCGGTGCCTATTTCCCCCATTGCCTTAGCGGGGCAATCAATTTTGTTATGTGCAGAAAAAAATACATAGTTTGGACAGACACAATATTTACATTAATGATTATTGAAAATCTTTATTGCACAAAAATATTCAAGTTTTATTTTTATAATATAAAGTTTATTGTATTTTTTAATTTGTAATAAACAACCAATGCATGCACCCAAATAGTTTTTTCTTTGATAACTCAACTCATTTTAATGTACAATACCAAAGAAGATAGCAAAAATGAGTATGATATATTTGAAATAACATTTATCATTAATAAAACATATCAATCCAACAGTATATAACATAGCCTAGTACATGAACTATTTGTAACTCTTAAAATGTCAACACTTTCATGGATGCCATCGTCACCACTGTCATGAACAACACTTTCATGGATGCCATCGTCACCACTGTCATGGACAACACTTTCATGGATGCCATCGTTACCACTGCCATGGACAACACTTTCATGGATACCATCATCACCACTGTCATGAACAACACTTTCATGGATGCCATTATCACCACTGTCATGGACAACACTTTCATGGATGCCATCATCACCACTGTCATGGACAACACTTTCATGGATGCCATCATCACCACTGTCATGAACAACACTTTCATGGATGCCATCATCACCACTGTCATGGACAACACTTTCATGGATGCCATCATCA